CCACGAGACCCTGCGTTTCCTAATGGAGGCCCCAAAAATCAAAGGCGAAAAAGTCACAATCACATTCAGAAACGTCAAGGACAACACTGACGAAGAGGTAACCGCCTGGACATATCTGAAAGACAAAATCGCAGACACAAACGCGACCTACGAGAAGCATGCACTCATCTTCTCCTTCTCCAATGCAGGGGCAAGACTGTCCCCCATTGAGAAAAGGAAATGGATGGTGAGAACCATCCAGGAACACGAAAACATCAAAACGAATGTCGACGAATTCTCCATGCTTGGCCTGGGGAGAACCTCGATGATCGTGGTTTTCAAAGACGCAGCTCAAGCAACAAACTTACTAGAGAAGTGTGAGACCCTGAACTGCCACAGGTCTGTATGCACCCTCTCAAGATGGAAGGCGGAAACAGCTCAGCAAGCAGAGGTCTCGCCGGCCGCCTCCTACGAAAATCGCCTGATAAGGGAGCAATTCTGGGTTCAATTCGATAACATCCCCCCCAGAGGCCACCCACTGGTCAAGGACCGAGTGGAAGTTGAATACCCTGCGAACAAGGTAGTGAAGTGGGTCCTCCCCACTCCCGACTTCCTTCATCCCCACTGCAACTCCATAACAGCAATTATGGAAGTACTCACCGACGACCCACCAGTTTTCCCAGAGGTCTGGCAATTTGTCATCGACGACAAAGTGACAGAAGTTGAAGTCTGCACCAAGACCTTGCCGATCTGTTTCAGATGCAAACAGAGGGGACAGATCCCAAACGTCCTCGATCCCCCGAACAAAAGAAACTCAGAAAGAACATGCTGCTGGAAGTTGAAGCAGCAAAAGAATCTGGTTCGTCAACGACTCAGACTATGATGGCTGGGTATTCGACGACAACATCCCCGAGCCAAAGTGGATTTGGACGTACGCAGACAAAGCACCGACAGTCAAACAACCAGACATCTTCCCTCCCTCCGACAGCAAATGGCACCACGTGGGAGCAAAGAAGATCACAGGGATCTCAGGCAAGATCCACTCTGACCCGGTGATCGATTTCCGTGCAGTCAAGGAAGAGAAAAAACACGAAGATCTGATGTGGATACTCGATTCGATCAGACAGCAGACAGCTGATTCCCTAGCCAAACCGGAAGAAGAGGAGAAAACCATGGCTGAGGCCAAAGCAATCATGGAAGGACGAAATCAGCAGACTGAACCTCCCCACAAGAGACAGCTCTCTCCCAAGACCTCTCCCCAAAAGGACAAAGATGCAACACTAAGTGGCAAGAAATCCAGAAAATCATGCACAGCAGACGAAGCAACCACTCCAGTGGGCCCACGGGGCACTCAGGTAACAAAGCCCGAGACAGAACAGGCAGGCATGGACATATCTCCCTCCAAAAACGACAGATCAACAAATTCAAACGAACAGGGTGATTCCCCCATGACCTAGCTGCAAGACTCCCTGGAAAGGGCCAAGAATGAGAGGGAAAAAGAATTCAACATCAGAGTAGCCTGCATGAAACATCAGGAAAAAATAGGACGGAACAACAGCGCATCGGTAGCAGGAATCAGCCCCACTCCCAACTCATATGCCATCTTAAGGCAACACAGTGAGATGTCAGAATTCAGTGCCTTTTGTTACAATGAAAAGAAAAAAGGGGTTACAATGAAAAGAAAAAGGGAAAGGGATTCCTCCGGGTCTGAGTCCGAAGCAAACGCAGAGGATCAGACCCACAAGGACCCAATAAGAGACATGGTCCCTAAGAAGTGGAAACCATCCAAGGGCAGAGACAAAAGATCCAGAAGACCCTGGTCAGACAAGACAGGGAAACCCAACGAACAGCGATCCATCAAACACGAGATTGCCATCGTGGCAGCCCAGACAAAGTGCCTGTTCGATCAGAATGCAAAATACAGAAAAAAACACAAAAAGGAATTTTGCACAATCCAGAATGTGGCAGACAACAAGGCCCCACATGTCACCGAAAAAGCCGCATCAGACCGGAAAACCATCAAGGCGGTCAGACCTCTCATTCCCATCCATTACAGAAGGAGATTTGGCGAGTGGCAGGTGGCCACCGATGTCTCTTTCGCCATCCCGACCGTAGGGGATAAGCGAATGTTAGCAAGGACCATCAGAGAAGAGATCTCCGAAGACTACCCACTGGGCTTCTTTGGAATTCCACTCTTGCCGACAGAGGATCCAGCTGCTCTTGGACAGGAACCAGACTCCACCAAGCCATCCGAGCCAATCCTCATCAAAATGGAGGAACAGGCGAAGCTTCGAGAGGGCCTGGTATGGAGAGCCTGGAACACAGTCACTGCGCTGCCATACAGCACGCTTGCAAGCAAGATGTGCCCGGCTGAGGTAATGGCTGAGTCCCTGGCCTCTATCATCAGATCTCTCATTCTCGCTACCGAGAAATCCCTGCAGGACGAGGCGGAGGCGCTATACGTAGAGACGAGGGACTCGTGGATGGAAACGATGACGACGATGCCCTCAGGGACAGAAAAATTTCCCCGAACAGCGAAGAGCAGGGATCCACCCCAGCGCCCGAGGGCAGCACAGGGGGATACAGCATGGAATCCGGAACTGCGAAGGGCATCAAAGACGACAACGGAGGGACCGGGGCAGACAGCGCAGAGAAAGGGGCAGCAGCAGATTAGAAACCATAATCTGATCGTAAAATTCAGATCAGAAGTAAGCCAGGATCTGAATAGAGCACCCCATTGGTCGAAATCAAATGGACAGCAATGAGCATCAGCTTGAGACAGTGAGAGTGGACTGGCAAGCCAAAGGACTGACAATCCATAGTTGGAACGTCAATGATCTGGGCAACATTCTCACTGAAGATGACAAACTACGAGACATCAGACTCGGCCTCACAGACAAAAGAAAGCCTAAACCCGACGTCATTATTTTACAAGAGACCCATCTTTCCAACCTAACCAACCACAACAGAATCAAGAGGACCGTGGAGAAAAGCCTAGGTGGATGCCCATTCACACTGTGGTCCAGCAAAGCAGACCGAAGTAACCGCGGCACAGCGATCCTCATACCAACCACCTCCAAAATCTGGTCGGAAGGCAGATAAGCAACGGCGAAGGTGACACAGTGGAAGGAAGATGGTTGTGGATCCAAATCAATTGGCAAGGGGAAGAGATCAGGATCATGAACCTTTATGCCCCCAACACGGAATCGGAACGCCTAGCTTTCTTCGACCACATCAAATCACTCTTCCCCAGCCCTCTACCTGTAATTGTGGCAGGTGGCTGGAACACCACGATGGACCCCAACCTGGACCGCGTCTCCCGAGCAGTGCTGTTGGGACCCACACGAGCTAGCACACACCTGCGGAATATCATGACGGAGTTCGATCTGGTTGACCCATTTCGAATTCTCCACCCATGTAAGAAAGCCTTCTCCCTAGTTAAAAGGAACCAATCTAACGACACATCACTTTCACGGATCGATTTCTTCTTAACCTTCGACATGCTGCAGGGAGAAATAAAGGAGGCGGATATCCTACCAGCGGCAGCCTTTAAGGGGCTCGATCACAAACCAACCTACCTGCTCCTTAACTTCAACTCTCCGGTAGAGAAAGGTCAAGGTTTTTTCAGACTTAACAACTCACTTCTCTCCACAGACCGCATGACCAGGCAGTCAGATGGAATTGGACTTCATGCAGCAGGATGAGAGAAAACGCCAGAACAGGCACAAGTGGTTCATAGACAGCTACATGGACCTATCCCAAACAGTTTCAGCTGAGTCCAAAAGCATAGCAGCAGAACGCAAACTCGGGAAGGAAGAACTTCAAATCGCTCTCGACATTGCAGAAACCAACCTCGCATCAGATCCTTCCAACTCCTATCACGACCTACTCCAATCTACCAAGGAGGAGTTAAACGAATGGAGAAGATGGGAGCTTAGAGGACTGCAAATACGTGCCCAAATGAATGACTACACTCAGAAAGAGTCCATGTCCAAATTCTTCTTTTCCAAAATCAAGGCCACTGCAAGAAACAACATGATTGAGGGGCTAAAGGACCCAGTGGACCAGGGGAAGACAAAATCGACCAGCACAGACATGGTAAGAATAGCCAGATCTTTCTACGCGGACCTCTACGAGTCCAAAACTCTCTTCCCCTCCCCCCCAACAGCGAACATCATCGCCCGCAAGCACATGATGACCTATCTAGAGAGAACGATCACCCGGTAACAAACGGAGGACTTGGACAAACCAATCACCCTAGGAGAACTTCACGCAACGTTGTCCCAGATGGGTAATGACAAAGCACCAGGAATCGATGGCCTGTCCAACGAATTTTGGGTCCAGTTCTGGCCCACATTGGGCAACGATCTCCTGAACTTCATTAACGATAGCAGGGAAAAAAGAGGCCTGGGTCAAGTTCTAAGCACCAGTGTAGTCTCACTAATCTACAAAAAGGGCGAACTACAGACCAATCTCACTTCTCACAACACCGTGTACTGACTAAACCTCCATAATATTTAACAAGTCGGGTTTTATGTCGATCATATAAAGCACCTACACATAAAAAAAGGGCTGAAGAAACCAGTCCATGACTTAACATGAGTAAAATACTACCTTCAATTCCTTGTATATTCAATAGAGTCATAACAAGCCAGTTCCGGACCTTCCGGAAGTCTGTGGACTTGGCCCTTCGGGACTGTAGCAGCTACGACCTTGACCTTTCAGGACTGTATCAGCTACAGCCTTGACCATTCAGAGTTGCAACAACCACGACCCCTACACAGCTATGACCTCTACTCGACAGACCTACGGTTCAAAACCCGACAGCTACACACACCTACGACAGACAACAGTCAGCTACCAAGACACAGGTCACGGGTTCAAATACACAGGGGTCTACTTGGTACTGTACACAGGTGAGGTAAGGTCTTGGGATCGAGACCTAGAATCTGCATCTGCTACTGCAAAGGTGAAAACCGTTTCAAAACAACCACAATCCACATTTGAACCATGGAACTTACATGATTATGCCTCCATGTTCTGGCCCAGCTTCAGTTCGTTCAAGCTTGTAAAGATCTTGAATCATTTCTACACGGCGCTCCTGGGCACATGACATCTGTACATACTGACTAAATTGGGGCCAGTTGACACTTGCAACCACCTGCAACACCGCACCACCAACGACAACAAGAGAAACCCTCAGCATATGACAGGTGGGCTTTAAGGAACAGGGTCAAAGGAGAGGAGTGATATGGGGGAGTCAAAAGACTCAAAAGGGAGGGGTTTAGATTCCTGGAAGGGATGTCTTCCAGTAGTACAATTCCGTCCAGGGAAGCTACCCACTTTACCTACCTGGACTCAAGTGCCATCTTCCAAGGCAGCTACCCGGCCTCAGTACCTGCCTGCCCGTTTGGTTGTCGTGAGAAAAAATGGTGAAGCTCCAGGCGAGTCTGCTAACCAGCCGCTGCACAGTATGAATCCTACCTCCAAATTGTCTGAGAATCATAGTTGCGGCGCACCTCGGTGCACGGATTTGCGCACGAATTGCGCACCGCACAGCGCACCGAAGCGCAGCGCACTGGAAAAATGAGGTCCAGAAAAAAAAAAAAAAAAAGTAGGGGCTCTGTAATTTCTTAGGGCCCCCAACTCGGCAAAAATGTTGAAGTCACCGCGCGAGCTTGGAAACCGGCCGCACCCCTGGCACAAACTTTTCTTTTGGGTAACGGCTACTGAATTCCGATTTCCGCTGGCCCTTCCCCCAACAGTTTCAGAATGGCGAAGCATAAAATAGGGCTCATTCCAACTTTTTCTTTAAGGCGGGGTACGAGAGCTGTCCTTCCCTCTCCCTTCTGCAAATCCCACACAGTGGTGGGGCAAGTTCGCAAGAAGGGGTAGTCGCCTACAGTCTTCCCCCGAACAAAACGCACGTATGTACGATTCAACTTTCCCTGAAAAAGTCAATTTCTCGAAGTCGCCCCCTGAAATCCAAATAGTACGCACGTTGAAATAGTACGCACATTGAAATAGTATGCACGTATGTTCTATTTAAATAGTACGCACGTTTGTTCTATTCGAACAGACGGGTGTTCTATTCAAATAGAACGCATGCTTGCCTGCCTGCCTGCCTGCAGTGTGGTGCTCGTTTCCAGGTGTGCACCCTGCAGTATTCCTCCCTCTCTCTCTCTCTCTCTCTCTCTCTCTCTCTCTCTCTCTCTCTCTCTCTCTCTCTCTCTCTCTCTCTCTCTCTCTCTCTCGTC